GACAAGAGAACTAAACTCAGACTACAGCGTGGAGCTGAAGCACGAGCGAAGCAAAAGCTGAAGCAAAAGCTGAGCGAGTTCGAAGAAATGGGGAAACACAGGAAAATGAGTGGGCGACATGATCTTTACTGACTTTAGCTCGAAGCTCGCGCTAAGACACGCGGTGGGCACGTGCGCCTACGGGTAGCGCGGCCAGCCACCATGTTTTCAAAATGGAGGTCGACGCTTTTGAAATCCGTGTAGACGATGGTGAGGGCTGAAGTTGGGTGGTGTGCTGCTTTTTCTGCTTCGAATTGTAGTTAGACCGCTTTGTCAAATATCGTACTAGTCTCGTCATCGTCCAGTAACAATCAACATTCTTTGTTCCGTTGGGACTGTAGCTTTTGCTCATTTTCGTCGCGCTTGCCTTCCCCTCTTTGGTCTTTTCATAACCTTGAACCTTCCAAGTTGGAAGGCTGTCGGTTAGCGCTACGGAGATGTGTTGAAGCTAGGTGTCAGGACGTCGAATGTCTCAGTACTCTGTCAGTTCTGTGCCAAGTTATTGCACTTTCTGATTGTATATAGTATCCAGTTACAGTGATGGAGAGTTACTCTTAACTCGTATCCATATGTCCTTTTTTCTACAATAATAATAATAATAATAGAACAGTTCGCGTACAAGGCAGCAAATGCTAACCTTTCCGCTTCTGTCTCTTTTGAGCTCTGCTACATGTGATGGTTGTGGAAAAAGGAAAAGAAAAAACCCGAGAGAAATGAAAGTGCACAACCGGATAGAGGTGTGTATGGAGATGGGTGTATGTAAGTACGCGCATGTATGTGCTAGTGTGCGTGCGGGGAAGTGTGCGTGCGGGGAGGTGTGCGTGCGGGGAAGTGTGCGTGCGGGGAGGTGTGCGTGTGGGGAAGTGTGCGTGCGGGGAGGTGTGCGTGCGGGGAGGTGTGCGTGTGGGGAAGTGTGCGTGCGGGGAAGTGTGCGTGCGGGGAAGTGTGCGTGCGCGTGTGGGAAACGGAGTGCAAGCACTGAGCGGCCAAAATGCAGCGGTTACTGCTTGAACGTTCAGAACGGAGTCACTGAGCGGAGCGGACAAAATGCAGCAGTTACTAATGGAACATGGCACGCCACTGATTCTTGTCAGTGGCAGTGGCGCGGACCTCTTCCAAGTCCCCCACACTCTTCAACGGGATGTTCCTTTCTTGGAGGTCCTTGATGACCGTGGTGGCGAGTGTTGTCTTCGATCTACCACGGTGGCCGGTAGCGTCTCGCTTCAGGTAGCATGTCATAGCTCTGAAGGCAGGTGCATTGGGGTCCATATTATTAGAGACGTGTCCTTTTATATATTTTGATCCACACTCAACATATACTACAATTGGAGACGTACTGGTATTGGAGACGTGTACGTTTAATGGGAAAAATACGGTATATTGTGTATGCCCTTTGACTTCTCCACTAAAATACGTGTGACATTTTCACAGGCATTTTAGTGGTCTTGTGCAAAGCCACGGCATTACACAAGACCATATGCTTACAGATGCATGATTGTATTTTTTGTGCCCATCTACCTGTAGTATAGTTCACAAGCCCGAGTGGTGGTCTTATGCAAGAAGGCAAGCTCGCCTTGGGACATGAGCTTAGGGATACATTGATGTACATGTACAATCAAACCTTGTTATGACGAACACTGAAAAGGCAAATGTTCCTTTAGTACGAACTAGGGCCAGTCCTATGGTTGGCCAGACATCATATCAAGTCAAAAATTATTCGTTTGCGACGAACTCTGTACGGCGAACTTTCATGAAGACGAACTAATTTCAATCGTGATTTGAACAAAATCAGCATGTGGTACGAACTTTCGGTCCCCGTGGGTACGCTGGCTGTAGTTTTTTTCCGATAGTTAAGGCCTCTTGTACTGGCAAAACATGTTACAAGGCGGATGTAATGCTGTCCTGAATTCATTGCACATTGTACTTACCTGTTGCTGGGTTATGTAATGCGAAAAATGTTTTACATTTGCCACGACATGCACGTTCACATAAATACTATCCATAATATGATATGCATATCAATTTTTTTGGCAGATCTGGATAAGAACTTTATTAAAGGGGAAGTTAAAGCTAGAATTAAATTTTCACCATTTGTAGTCTTCGGGGTGCTGAGTCGAATGGTCTTGGTCCGAGGAAGCTGAGACGCTCCCTTCCTACTTTAATCCCAATCGAACTCGCGCACTTCCACCGAAACTGGGTGACTGCGCCCTACTAGATAGGGATTTGTATGCAAAATGTCACTAAAAGCGCCATTTCGTTCTTATAAAAGCACGGATGACCGCAATTGGCCCGTATGTTGTAGTCTTTTGGACGCTGAGTCGACTGGTTTTGGCCCGAAAAGGCTGCGATGCAGCGTTCGGCCCTTATTCCCAATCGAACATGCTTGAACAAGCGGTCACGTGCTCCTGCATACACCAGTCACCTGGTCACTTGAACTTGTTCGGTCCCTTGAAGTTGGTCCTAACGAGTTAACTGTATTTCAAAAGTATAGACCTCTGGACTTTTTCGAAAAAATTCAAATTTGGTTTGAGCTTTTAGAGAAATTTCTTCGGAATAGTACTCAGGCAGCTCTCGCAAATTTTTTTGATCGCCGCTGTGCTACTGGCACTATGTATTCGATAAACCTTGTTTTAGTTCACACATGTTGTTGGTTTGACACCATGAAACGGTGTCCTCCACCTTGTTTCATGCTGTCAAACCAACCACATGGTACTATGTAGTAATGGGTTGGTTGACGTATCGCTGGCACCAGGGCCGGGGAGTGCCTCTTGCTATCTCTCCCGGTGGATTCTGCTTCTGTGAACCATTGCAATGCGTACCAATATCAGACAGTACACCACTGACGATGAGGGCTGGCAAAGTTGGGCTATGCCCAGCTTTTGCGGCCTGTCCCGGCACCAATTCCATACCCTTTTTTTTTTAGGAAAAGTGGTATGTGAACCTTGCACGCCGGTGATCGCCCATACAGGGACCTAGGCGTTCTTGTGACTTTATCAAAGTTTGCATGCGTATTTTAAACTACTATTTTTGACACCATCGCGTACTAGACCACAATAAAACGTGTAGAAATAGTTTCAAAATCTGCAGTAAAAAGGTAGCACAAAGTGGCCATCGCCGGAAGATCCTTACTCTCCCATGAACTACTGAAGAAACATAGAATTCAAGATCAAAGTGCCAAGCTTGACGTAGCTTTTGGGCACATTTCGTACTACTGTGTAATAGATTTGGTACTACAGCGGTACTCTAACCGTATGCACTTGATCTCCTTTAGTATCGGGGCTGATCGGGAGCTGTCCCACTGCTGGTGCAGCCTACCAGCGCGTACTTGGCTTATGTGAGTCGCCCCTATACAGATGGAGAATACACACAGCTTTGATCTGGAGTTTCATGTGGAGTATAATGGCATTGTTAGACATGTATGGATCCGTTTAGAATATCAGCATTGCCCCAGTCTCCAATACTAGCCCAGTGTCCAGTAGTAGCACGGGTAGCGGGGTCAGTGAAGAAAAATAGGAACCTCGCGCTCTTGTTGGAGAGAATACGGTTAACGCACATGCCCAGTTTGAGGTCGAATTATCAAACATTGTCATGTGGAAATCGTCTTGACTGAAATTGATCCTGGAAGAAACTTCGAATTATATAGGCGGTGTGTATGAATTAATCCATATTCGAATTATCAGGATTCCACCTTTAGTGCTGTTCAATGGTTATTATCTTTTTCTCATGTGCTTATTTTCTCCCTGACTGCAGGTGGCACTGGTCAGTATTTCAAGATTGTAGTTCTGTCGACCAAATTTTTAGGTGTATCGCCCTCGGACCGCAAAGACATGGTGTACAATGTAAGACTTGTTGTTACCTGATGGGAGCGCTGCATTCTAGTGGGACCCCTTCATACTATCTGAACGCTGCATTTTCTGGTGTTGTTGTTGATTGCATCCAAGTTGTCAGAGCACATATGTGTACATTTAGGTTGCGTTTGTTTGGGTAATTTCAGAATGTAAATGATAAACATTCTAGAAATGTGTATGAATCACCTGACCAAACAAACCAGAATCAATTAGGAATCACTTGACCATACAACTCCATGATGTCGTTGTGGAACTGCGGCTCTCTTCTCTTTACCTGGCTCCAGTTTCCTTGAGAGAGAGAGAGTCAAGTTGCTTCTGAGTGCATGATTTGAGGCACTTGAACCGGTCGCTGCATTGTTTGTCTCGTGGCAACCACTATCCCTTTTGATCTCAGAATGAGAATGCTCATTCCAGCATGTGAGGTGGAATGATAATGCGATTCCCATGCTGGAATGGGACCAACCAAACGGAATTTTTTGACCAAACAGATGAGCAATAATAATTCCCAGTGTTCCCACTGTGGAACGTGACCAACCAAACCCACGCAACCTTAGGTTC